CATCACACCACCACGTGAACATCACCCCTGAGCATCATCCAACCACCCATCACACAACCACGTAACTGCCGCCCCACGATCGTGGTCCAGCTCATTCACACTCAACGTGCACCCACTCACAGGACAAGCTGGGAGGACACCTGGTTGACACTCACCTTAACATTGTCCGACTTCATCTCGGCTTCCGTGTAGAGGCCCTTCATGAAACCAGTGATTCGAATCACCTACAAAAGACAAACAAAGTAGATCACAAGCGGTCCTCATACGCACTTCCTCACGTGTCCACGTAAGCCCATGCTCAGAAAGGCTTCCAAATCAGCCTGCACTGAGTCAATCACAAGTGTGTGAGCAGAGTAGTCACGTGCCAGGTCCAGCCTGGGCCTCACTGAGGGACAGACCAACAGACACACAGGCAGGTGCACTGATGTGGGACGTGCACGGTGCTGAAGAGGCACTGAGGGGCAGTGCTAACACACACAGGACATGCAGTCCTGGCACCCACATCTAAACTGAGAACCTAAGAGCTGAGGGAGGCCAGGAAGTGTCTCTGAAGGGCCAGGGCTGAGCAGAACCCCAGGAGTCCCCACACCGTGAGGGCTGCCCTACACAGGCATCAAGGCAACACCAGACATGAGTGCAATGTGAAGACCTCAAGGACCCAGCCAGCAAGGCATCTTACCACGGCCCTTAGGGCAGTGTGAACATGGACCCCAAAAAGGACAGCGACCCAGCAGCCTGGAGCACCACCGTCACCAGCTGCGTCCTCTCATCTTGGGACCCTGTTCCACTCCCCTCTGTTCGGTCCCCACCACCTGCTCAGGCCAATGGCACCTCAGTAACCCTGAAGCCAGCTCTCTGGGCACAGTGCTTTCTGTTCCTCCCAGCCCACAGTCACACATGCCCCAAGCTCTCAGACTAGTTCTTCCAAGTGTGGAAGTGAGTGTTCCAAGAAGCTCAGGTGGCTTCAGCAAAGCACAGGGCAGGCAGCAGAGGGGGCAGCTGGAGGGAGGAGAGGCCCACGAGACAGCCCATGGGGCCGCTGGGGTCTGACTGGTTCCAGTGCAGCAGCGGTAGGTGCTCTGAAGACTAAGGTGTGCCTGACTGAGCTGTGGTGTCTGCAGCCTCACGCACTGGAGCAGACATTATGCTGGCTGGGTCCTCTCTGGTTAAATCTCTCTAGAACTCCCTGTGCTTTCTAGATCATCTTCGATTGTTCTTGTTAAGTGCCATCGTGGCACCTGTGACTTACAGTGACCCTGTGCACTACAGCTCGGAACCCAGTCCTATCCTGAGCCTGTCGTGCTGTCTCTGACACGCCTGCCCCATTACCCCAGCCACTGTGTCAATCCATCTCATCCTGCATCTTCCTCTGCTGGTGAAATGCTGTCCAGAGAGGGCCTCCATAGTGTGTGAACGCTAGACAATGAAACAAAGTCTGAAGAACTGATGTCTTTACACTCTGTCGTGAACAATGAACATGAATAGACACCCTTTACTGTCAGGAAAACAAACCTGTCTTTGAAGAAGTGAAGTCGAGTGCCCTAGAAACAAGGATGGTGGCACTTCATCTCCCATACCCCAGGTGCATTCTCAGAGGCCATTCCAGGGAAGGACATCACGCGTGGTAAAATCGTAGTGGCCGTAGCTACTGTTAGATGCCACCCGGTCAACGCCGACTCCTGGAACTCCGTGAAGAGCTCTGAATCCCGCCTTACCTGGTACCATCCTCGTGTTTCTCTCATATGCCCGAGCCCACTGTCAGCGGCTCACTGTTGAGCGTGCCCTCATCCTCCTGGCTTTCTCCAGGGACTGGCCCCTCCTGACACTCTCCCTGCCTCTAAGGAGCTCTCTGCTTGCAGTCTACTACAGCAGCTGTTGTTGCCATGGACGGTGGAGTTGGAACCCATCCAGAGCTGACTCTACACTGAGTGTTCTGAAGCACTTATCCACCCAGGAGACTGCCCGTCTTTCCCCCATGGAGCAGCTGGTGGATTCGAATCAGGTGCCTCCGGGCTGGCCATCAAATGTCCCCAGTAAAGCGGAGAGTCAGGCAAATCGGCAGGCCCTCAGCCAGGCAGCCTGACTCCGTGCCCATGACCACACCAATGACCTGGGCACAGCACCACCATGAGCAGGTGCTGGCATGAGTTCTGTCCTATCACACACAGGCCATCAGGTGTCAGAACCAACTCGGCAGCATCTGAGAACATAGCACGGGATTCTCACTGTGGCGCTGGTCAGGCCACATGTGACCAGCAAAGGCGAGGTAGCAGAGATGAAGAGCAAAGGTGGCAGAAGAGTAAGGCGACCGGCCAATGGAAGGGAATGAAGTCAGAGGACAAAAGGGGCCAGCAAGGCACTGCAAGCCTACCTGACCCCTGAAGAGCACATCACATCGCAGCCTGCCCACACGCACGTGGAAACAGGTGCTGCCCCCAGAGATGCCCCCTTGGCTGACTCCACCCAACGATCCAGTGTTTACACCACACAGCTTCTATGCACTCAGGCGGGCAGCTTGCCCAGGTTCACCAACAAAGTTCCCGTCCCTCTGGTGCAGGAATTCACCACCCCACCCACCTGTCGGGTGTGCCCTGCAGTGGCTTCATGTTGCTACAAGGCTGAATGGAAGCTGCGCTTGCCCATGGTGGCAGGTTTCAGACGACCCTTCAGACTAAGACAGTCTAGGCACAAAGGCCTGCCATTCATGTCCAAAGCTGTTGTTGTTGTTAGGTGCCATCAAGTCAAGTACGACTCACAGGGACCTTATGAACAGCAGACCTGAGCCCTGTCCCATCCTGAGCCACCCTCAACATCTCTGGCATGCTTTATCACAGTCACCCTATCAGTCCATCTCAGTGAGGTCTTGCCTTCCTTCACTGACCCTCCACATTTTCCACCAGGACATCTTTCTTCAAAGACGGACCCGTCCTAACTATGTATTTAAGACCAAGTTCACCATCCTTGCCTCCACGGAGCACTCTGGATGCACCTTCTCCAAGACATACTGGCTTTTTTTTATTGTTGTAATGTAGCTGAAATGTACCGTCAAGTCGCCTGCAACCCATAGTGACCCTATGTACAGCAGCTCTGAACCCTACCCTGTCCTGAGCAAGTCTCACTAATTCCAATATACCAACCCCCAATGCCCCAGTTACTGTGTCAATCCCTCTCATCTGGGGTCTTCCTCTCCTGCACTGTCTCTCTCTACCCTTCCAAGCGCAGTGTCCTTCTCCAAGGACTGGTCTCTCCTGGCCACGTGCCCAAGTATGTGACATGGAGCTTCAAAATCCTAGCCTCCAAGGAGAGACTTGGTTTCACCCTCCCCAAGACAGACCTATTTGTTTTCTTGGCAGTCCATGGAATGTTCAAGACTCTTCTCTAGCACCACAGCTCAAAGGCATCTATCCTTCTTCTGTCATCCTTAGTCATTGTCCAGCTCTCTGAAGCATAACAAGTAACTGCCAAGACCATGACCTGGATTAGGCGCACTTTAGTCTCTAGACTGACATCGTTGCTTTTCAGCACTCTGGAGAGGTCCCTGACAGGAGATTTTCCCAGTGCAATTCATCTTTTGACTTCCTGACTGCTGGTGCCCAGAGTGTTGCTTGTGGAGCCAAGCAAACTGAAATTGTTAACAATGTCAATCTCTTCTCCATCCATCATGGTGCTGCCAAGTGGCCCAGAGGTGAGAATCTTTGTCTTCTTGATGTTAAGCTTCAATCCATATTAAAGACTATAGTCCTTCACTGCAGCAAGTGCTTCAGGTCTTCTTCTGTTTCAGCAAACAAGGTCGTGTCATCTGCATAACATAGGTTGTTGATGAGTCTTCTTCCAATCTTGATGTCACATTTGTCCTCACGAAGCCCAGCTTCCCGAATGATCTGTTCTGCATAGAGATTGAAAAGGTATGGAGACAGGACGCAGCTCTGATGCACTCCCTTCCTGATTTAGAACCATGCAGTGTTTCCCTGCGCTGTTCTGAGGACTGCTTCCTGGTCTGAGTGTAGATTTCACATAAGCACAATCAATTTTTTCATTAGCCAATGAAAATCCTGTGGCTCACAACAAAGAATTATTCAGCATAGTGCTAGAAGACAAGCCGTGGCGTGGAAAGGCACAGGTCCCAGCAGCCTCAGCAGCGGACTAGGGCACCCGTGGGCAGTGAGGACGGTGCAGGACAGGGAGCCCTCCCTCCTGTGGTCTGTGAAGTTGCCATGAGATAGTAACTAACGCTGACAACACCAACAATGGGGAAAGGAAGGTGCAGGTGCCACTGGTCACCGATGTGGGGCTGTCAAGGGGAATACGGTCCTCTGTCACGGTCCTCGTCAATCTCCCAAGGACCAGCGGCTTGGTTTCAACCATTGGCCTCATCACAGAGCGCTTAGCCACATACCACCAGAGCTCCTGTGTGCAGCCTGGAAGACATGCGAACAAGAGCTCCATTGCTGGGGAGTCTGGGGCACCGACGCACCACCATGGCGCTGCAGGGCCAGAGGAAACCCTGGAAGGGAGCAGGCTGCATGGACAGCATGGGATGGGCAACAAGGGGGCCAGGGCCAGAGCCAACAATTCCCACAAAGGACACAGTGCTCTTACAGGTTAGGTCCAGGGACCACCCCTTGGGATAGAGGCCAGGCTAAAGGCCCAAGTACCCAGGCTCCCAATGCAGCCCTGGCTCAGACTGAACCCAATTCCAGCTCTCAGCCTCAGTGTGCACTCTGCCTCCATCCTCCACCCTGACACAGGCCCCAACCACTCACCACCACCTACAGCCCAGCCCAGGCCCACCTCAGCCCCAGTCAGCAGCCTGGGGGCTCCCCAAGCCCAGCCCTGATCCTTGACCACACTCTACCCCAGCCAGCACCTTGACCCTGGCCATCACCCCAACCCCAGCCAGCACCCTGACCCCCCTCCAGTACCCAACTCCTGACCATCACCCCAACCTAGCCAGTACCCTGAACCCCACCATTACCTTTACCCTGGCCATCACCACGATCTCGGCCAGCACCCTGGCCCTCCATTACCCCAATCCTGGCCACTACCCCAACCCTGGACAGCACTCTGCTCCCTCCAGTACCCTGCTCCTGGACAGCAACCCCCACCATCAAACCTCCACAACAGCCAGCACCCTGACTCTGACTAACAGCCTGACCCTGGCCAGTACCCAGACCCCGGCCAGTACCCTGACCCCAACCAGCACCCCAACCCCGGCCAGTACCCCGACCCCCATCATTATCCCAGCCCTGGCCAGGACCCGAGCCAGCAGCCGGACCCCATCATTACCCCGACCC